TTTGCTTGCCACACAAGCCATAAAAGAAGTAGAATGATGGATTTTGGACAAACAGAGCCAATAAGGAGGATAATCAAATTAAGGAGGCAGGGGGTCCTGGAATGTGTCTTCTTATGCCTATTGGTATTGGTCTTACCAATGTAGATAGATACTTTACAGTTGCTACAACCATTGGTCCTAATGTTTCTATTTTTAGTATAAGGGGAAAATAGCCAATATTTAGGATACTAGCTAATTCATGATTTTCTAAGCCAGCTCCCTTTCCTGCCTTTCCACCAACTTTTAGGAACAATAACTGTTTCATGGCCACTGAATCTAACCAGCCCATAGGAGAAAATCTGGCCTGTATATCAGGAAGAAGAAGGTGAATGTCTCAAAGATGAAAGTAGAATGTGTTTTCCTAAGTTATAGCATATCTGAAGGGGGATACGGTGGCTCAATGGTGGATGAGGTGGCTCAGTATCTAAGACGCTGCGTTTGTCGATCAGAAGGGTTGGCAGTTCGATGGTTCAAGTCCCTAGCACCGTGTAACAGCATGAGCTCCCGTTACTTGCTCCAGCTTCTGCGAACTTAGCAGTTCGAAAGTATGTAAAAATGCAAGTAGAAAAATCGGAACTACCTTTGGTGGGAAGGTAACACGCATTCCATGCACCTTCGGTGTTTAATCATGCCGGCCACGTGGCCATGTAGACATCTTCAGACAGCACTGGCTCTTTGGCTTTGAAACAGAGATGAGCACCACCCCCTAGTCTGGAACAACTAGCACATATGTGTGAGGGGAACCTTTACCTTTTACCTTTAGCATATCTAAATGGTTTAGTCGTAAGACAGCAACACATGCTGATATTAAAATGAAATCTATTATGTAAGGCTTTAAAATTAAATCTGTAATACATTCAAACCCTTAAAATTAAATCTTTAACGTCTCAGTTTATGTTGACCAGGAACTGGTTTTTCCTCCCCTAAAACAAGTATGCACACTTGTATAGCAGTTTTTCAACTTAAACCTTTTGTTTTGATTATCTAATATGAGGGGGTGAGGCAGGTGGTTCCCCATTGATGAATCAATTGCAGAAAGTCAGTAATGAAAAGTCAAGACATTCTGCTTTCTGCATAGGAATACATAATGCAGATACTGGAAATATGTATAATGAAGACTCATTCTTTTTGGCCTGGATGAAGCTATATCATTTCATTCAATATCAGATGAGCATAATGGTGATGATTATGACTACAGCTATGCTTCATGCACTTTAATATTTCTTTCTTGGACTTAGACAACTCCACAGCCCAAGAAATACCATGAACTCTAAAAAGAGAGGAGATGCTTCGTTGCAGGTATCTAAAAGGCTTCAGAACACATTTAGCTCTAAAAACTTTGTAGATCTGAGTTTTATCTAAACAAACATACAGGTGCCATTTGGAAATTGGTTACAGCTAAATATATAATTATGATTAAAATGCTTGTGAACTGCAAATATTGGAAAAATATAATAAAGGGTTGTTGTGGCAGCACAGTGATTAGAATGCAGTATTGCAACCTAATTCTGCCAACTGCCAGCAGTTCGATCCTGAGCTGGTCAGCCTTCCGTTCTTACGAGGTTGGTAAAACCAGGATCCAGATGGCTGGGGGCTATATGCTGACATTCTAAACTGCTTTGAGAGGGCTATAAAGCACTATGAAGAGTTATATAAGTCTAAGTGCTATTGCTAATACTTTTGGGATACTCTTTGCTAGACAAATGCTTTATTTTGTATGCTTTATGTTTGAAAAATAATAAATAATCTACAAGAGTTTCCTTTTTTAAAGGCATTTTAGATGGGTTGAGGTTTGTTAATCTATGCGCTGCTAAATTAATATACAGTATATAATATATTATACAACTGTATAATATCATACAATCAAGTATTCTCTTATACACATATTCATTGATTGATCTTTGTATGACATACAGTATTGTTAAGTGTCCATTACTATATCTTCAATGGATAACTTGTGAACATACAGGACAGACTGAGCTACATAAATGTCTGCATGGACATTTATGCTTCTTTATGAAAACTTTGCAAAACCTGTATATGAATAATGCCATAAGGACTATCTATACACATAGCTTGGGTCTATTAACAGAAGAAATCAAATCACATGCCTATCGTATCAAAGGAATATAAAGTAGAATTCCAGAATATGTACTATCAAAACTGATGCCCGCAATGCACAAAACAATACATATTATAGACCATATGTCCTCTACTGATTCTCTTAAATCTTTAGTGACTTGAACCTTCACTTATGCTTTCTACTTTGCCTTCTACAGGTAGTCCTCAGCTTAGAATATCTTAGTGACCTTTCAAAGTTACCACGGCATGGAAAAAAGTGACTTATGACCAGTTTTCACATTTAAGACTATTGCCGCATCCGTATGATCACATGATCAAAATTCAAACACTTGGTAACTGACTCATATTTATGACGGCTGCAGTGTCCTGGGATCAAGTGATCACCTTTTGTGACCTTCTGACAAACAAAGTCAATGGGGAAGCCAGATTCACTTAACAATCATGTAACTAACTTAACAACTGCAATGATCCACTTAACAACTGTGGCAGGAAAGGATGTGAACTGGGGCAAAACTCATTTAACAACTGTCTCACTTAGCAAAAGAAATTTTGGGCTCAATTGAGGTCATAAATTGAAGACTACTTGTTCTCTAGCAGGACATTCCAGAATATCTGAAACAATGTTTAACTCAAGCTGCTAGGAATGCAGCTTTCTGCATACAAAGTGTGAGCTTTAGCAACAAACTACAGCTTCTCCTCAAATGCATTTAATCTGATCTTTCCATAAACAATTGCAAATTAGACTAGGAGACCTTTAACCTTGACGCATATGTGTAATTTAGCAACTCTAGAGAGGTAAGGCATTTGGTAGATTTTCCAGAAAACAATTTATGCCTATAATTTTGCTCAAAGCCAGCAAGATTCACCGGAAAATGCCCCCATCTTGGCTTCCATTCTGTCACATTCTCCTGGGAAAGACGATTAGGGCTCAAAAGTTGCTAGTTCATAACACTTTTTGCTTTTATGATGTAGTAAATATTTAATTAATCTTTTCCTGTTCCCTGCTATTTAAAGATTCACTGCTTTCAACTCTCTACATTCAGCAGGGAATCTCAGAAGAAACTACACAACAAAAACAATGTCACCTACAAGAGAGTGTAGAAAGCAACTCAGGACTCGCTTCCAGACAGAACATCTCATTTATTCTTTTGCCAAACTGGCACCACACCAGTTATTCTGAGATATTGGCCGAGCAAAATGCTTCCAGTAAATAACAAAAATGGTTTAATGTACCCAATAATTCATTTTGTTGTTCCCATCAAATTTTCTGTTCCTCTTTATATAATCAACAATTGCTTTTCAAGTGCTTTAGAATCTTCTCCTTCTCTAGATGGAAAATATCAATGAAGCAATGAATTAGTTCTCTGTATTCATGCATGGCCATACATGTATGCCCATGCATGCATCTCTGTATGCATGCATGGACAGACAGACAAAAAGACATGCCTCAGCAAGAGGGATGGGGGGGAAACTATCATATAATGCATAAGGAAAATGTAGAAATGCCAACAACCGATGAATAATTGTGAGTTTTCATTTATGTGTAGTTTTATAAGTATGTGATTATGTACACATAGAGCTACAAAGATGCAAAAATTAACCCTATTTTTCCTGCAACCATTACTCCATTCTCTCCATATTTCCTGCAGCGAGCTGCATGTGATTGAGCCAGCCCCCAGTGATGTCAGTATGTGTTTTGATGACATCAAAGAAAACAAAACCTTTTCTCATTTTAGCACAAAAGAGTACGTCCTCACAACACCATATACAAATATTCTTACAATCCTTTGTCTAACATGACCACAATCCCAGTGATAAGCTGAGTATAAGATTTCTTTTCTTGTAACTGTTGGTGAGCAGAAGGTAGAATAATCATCTTGCCTTATAGTGAAATAATTGTTTACATGCATATCTGGAGGTGAATGGCTTTAGCCAAATGAAAATGTGATTATTATAGAGAAAACTAAGTCTGGAGAATTTTTGTCTGCCATTTGTCTTGGAAATCAGATAAAAGTACAATTGTGGTTCATTGAAAAACAACAAAAAACTTTAAGACACAGGTCTTCCACTAAGAAGCTTTAGTAATGAATTATCTTCATCTTGTTGAAAGGAAAGGAAAATGGAATGAAAGTTAAAGAGGAATCCTGACACAAGTCATGTTGTAGGCAATTACTTGCATGTGTGTTAGAAGGTGTCTCTTTTTTGGGTGAGAATGTAACTTGTTGGAATGTTTTTTTCTCCTCCTAAACCCCCCCCCCCCAAAGCAAGAAAGAAAAGTGCCATTTTATCCGCCCTTGTTCCAAAGGGCTGGCTTTATGTGGTGTCTGTCTTAGAGTCAATATTGTTCCTTATCTGTCTTTAAGTACAGTATATGCAAGAGCATGCAGGACATGAAATACAGATAGGGGTTAAAGAACACCAAAGTAAACCCTCCTTAAAGGGTCTGGAAACAAGTAGTCTGGGTTTTGACTTGTATGGCTTACCCTTGCATATCTGGAGGAATAGGGATCCTCAAAAAGTGCCCAGATCCGAGGCTGCCACCTCTTCCAAAAGCCCCCAGGCCTTCCATCTGGGGAATCACTCAGGGCCAGGCGTTTAGTCATCTCCAGCTCCTCTTCCCCATCACCTGAGTCTCCTGTGCCATCTGCATCTCCATCATCAGCACTGCTATCCAGAGGTGCTCCACCAAAACTGTCCAGGGCCTCTTCAGCATCACGATGCTGCCTATAGGTCATCCAGCAGCAAGGCTCCACATCTGTTTCATCAATGCCCCAGAAGGCTAACTCCTCCTCATACAGAGGTCCACACACATCTGCTGGGCAATGCAGCTTACCTGTTCGGTAATAGTTCAGGATGTGGGCAAAGACACCTGGGTGCCGATCGAAGAAGAATTCATCTGCACGGGGGTCATAGTCAAAGTGACTGTGGGCATCTGGCTCAGCGATCCAGGCCAGCCGGGTGCCAGGCAAGGTGCGTAAGGTGCTGCGGTAAGTCTGGTGCCTAGTCCCTCCCACATTGATCACAATACGATCACTTTCATCGCCCTGGCCCATCTCGTCTCTTATTAGGCATGTCGTGGAATCATCCAAGCAAGCACAACACACAGCAAGCTCATAAGGGGTGGCTAGTCATCTGCAATCAGTAACTAACTTGATACCTTAGACATGTGGGCAAGAGACACCCACTGTTCTTAGCCACTTATATCCTTCACAGCAGGTGATGCAAAATCAAGAGTACCAGTGAAAGTTAATGATGGCAGATTCAACTTCTTTATTAGGAAATCAACATGCTCTTAGAGTAGCATGTAATTGTAAGGTTCAGGTACCTATAAATAGAATATGCTGATGAAAGGCTCCTTCCAAGAACAGAGATTGTGAGGGGTGTTTGGTTAGGGAGGTAAGTATGGTTGTGAATGAGGAATTGCTGTGGCAATTAATACCTCCAGTGCCACACGGCTGACCTACAAAGAAGATGCAAAAGGTGGCAATAGGGGCCTGCAACAAGACACTGAGGGCAGTGAAATAGGGTTTTACAGACACAACCCACACATGCACTCACCACAAACACACAAATTAACACAGTGCGAGGAGGAAGAAGAAAGGGCAGATACCAAATGCTCAGGAGACCAAATCTCCTGAAAACGCTGGACAAAATCCTTCTGTACCTCAGTCCTAGAGGCAGGGGCAGGCGCAAAAAGGCAGCTCTTCAGAAGAGCTCAACACATAGCAATCCGAATCCTGGTGTCGATTTTTTTTTTCCGGGACAGAAATTCAACAAGCACGTGAAATTCAAAGGCTCTGAAAAAAAGAAACGATGGCGGTGATGAAGCAACAACTAGTATTGGGCCGGGCGGGGGAGATGTATCTAATGATCCCCCCCACCCCAAGCTGAAAGAAAAGATCACGAAACCCGCCTTCGCTCTTGGGTGTCTTCCTTGGCGCTCTCCCTGCTGATGCGGGTTCACACTTCGCAGCAGCCCAAAATGCGGCCCTCGGCGCCTGCAGCTCTCGCCTCGAGGGCCCCTCCTGGGATTGAGCAAAAGAAAGGCGCCAGAAGCGCAAGGCACGGGGCTTGCCGGGGTTTAACGGTAGCGTGGTGCTGAACGGACAGCGCTCGATGCCTTCGCCAAGGAAGCGCCTCTCGTGGAGAGAAGAGAGAGAAAGATATAAGACTTGGCTGGTTTATATCTGTCTTGAAGCAGAAGGTGGAACGAGATGCAGAGACCGGGTGGCCGGAATAAATCAAGCCGATTTATTCCTCCTTCACAACAGGCTGGATGGAGCCGGCGATTCAGGCAGGTTGAGCAATGCTTGAAGCCGCAGGTGGGTTGTGCTGAGAAGAAGAGACGGAAGATCGGCGCGCCTTGCCCTCGCTCTCCCTCTGTTCTTCCCTCCCACGCGCCCGCTGCCCGAAAGATCTGGCAGGTGGTGCTTGAAGGCTCCGTTGCCAGAGAACACGCTGGTGCTGCTGCCGCTGGTGCTGCTGCCGCCTCTGCCGCCGCCGTTCTTGCCGCTAATCCAGCTAGTTCGGTCTCCGGATATTTGGCGCAGGCGCACTGGGCCAGGAATAGAGCAGTTCTCTCTGGGTCCTAATGCAGCACCGGGAGAGGCAGATCCCTGGCGGGAGGGTGCGGACTGGAATTCACCTGGAAAAGGAGCGATCGAAGTAGAGATCGCAGCCAACTGGGAAGTGTGTGCGCAGCGCCCCGTGCAACCCTCCTAGTTTCTTTCAACAGAAGAAAGGGGTGGGGAGGCGGGAACTACATCGTTGGTCACGCAGCTGGAGAAGACAGGCTGTGTTCTCCGTCCTGCCTGATCTCCGGTTTTATTGTGTGAGAGTTTCCGATGGAAGATCGTCAACATTTGGTGAGACAATACAATACAATAGCAGAGTTGGAAGGGACGTTGGAGGTCTTCTAGTCCAACCCCCTGCCTAGGCAGGNTCAGGATTATATACCAGTCCATCTATGATTTCTCTCATCTGATCACAGAACAATCAACAGACCGTCCAATGAGGAATAATCCCTATATTGAAAGAAAAATATTTTTTCTTTACCTGCTGAGCAATCCAATCTGTCGTAGCAAGTTCCTTCAAAACTTCTCTTGCTTCTTGAAGATTCACTGGGATATAACAGTCCATTGACACATCAGATCTAGAAGGAAAAATGGAATGTCCATTTTCTGAGCAATGTCCAAAGCTCAATCACATGTTTCTTAAGGCTATCATTCAGAAATTTTATACAGTGACCACCTACATTATATTTCCTAGCTTTTGAGCATCAGATCGTTCAAAGAGAAGATAGACTTATCAGGATTTAAGGCTCTTCAGATAAACCACTGGAAATTTACTTAATTACTTACCTACTTACAGCATAGGTAAAGGTAAAGGTTTCCCTCGCACATATGTGCTAATCGTTACCAACTCTAGGGAACAGTTTTCAAAGCCAAAGAACCAGCGCTGTCCAAAGATGTCTCCGTGGTGATTTGGTCGGCATGACTAAACGCCAAAGGCGCACAGAATGCTATTTACATCATAGAACCAGATAAGAACTGAAATAAGAATATGGGTGGGGAGGACAAATAATGTGTTTTATCTCCTTTTATATAGTTTGGAGATGATGGGGTGTTTGTTATTGCAAGATTCAGAATAGCCATGGCATGGCAGGCATTTTTCCACCATTGTATTTCCTAGCTTTTGGGCATCAGATCTTTCAAAGAGAAAATTGACTTCTCAGGATTTAAAGCTCTTCTTCAGGTAAAGCACTGGGAATTTACTTACTTACCTACTTACAGCATAGATAAAGGTAAAGGTTCCCCTCGCATATATGTGCTAGTTGTTCCCGACTCTAGGAGGCAGTGCTCATCTCCATTTCAAAGCCGAAGAGCCAGCACTCCGTGGCCATATGGTGGGCATGACTAACTGCCGAAGGCGCAGGGAATGCTGTTACCTTCCCACAAAAGTGGTCCCTGTTTTTCTACTTGCATTTTTTATGTGCTTTCAAACTGCTAGGTTGGTAGAAGCTGGGACAAGTAATGGGAGCTCACTCTGTTACGCAGTGTTAGGGATTCGAACCACCAAACTGCCAACCTTTCTGATCGACAAGCTCAGCATCTCAGCCACTGAGCCACCACATCCCTCAACTTACTGTATAGAACCAGATAAAAACTGAAATAAGGAGATGGATGGGAAGGACAAATAATATATTTTATTTCCTTTCTTTTATATAGTTTGGAGATGATGGGGTGTTTGTTATTGCAAGATTCAGAATAGCCATGGCATGGCAGGGATTTTTGCTTCTTATTTTCAATTTTTTTGAGATTAACAAGTTTGAAGATGACTGCAATTTTTTTTTCAAATATCTGGCACTGGAAGCAGTGGCAATGTGGAAATCCTTGAATAATCTCAAGAGCCTAGGGCCTTCATTTTTAAAGGTAATGGGACATTTTGCAGGCATAAAGATTTGAAGAATTTGGAATGGATTTACATCAAAGTCTTAATTCAGTCACAGAGCTAATTAGGTTAATTAGTTGAGTTATTAGCAACTCTCAGTGGTGGGATTCAAATAATTGAACAACCAGTTCTCTGCCCCAATGACCAGCTAGGTAGGCGTGGCTCGGAGGGGCATGTGACCAAGTGGGAGTGACCAACTCATTGTTAACCAGAGCGCCAGTTTCTGTAAGCAGGGCAATAAAAATTAGGCTAGAAGCATCACTAGATTGTTTCCTTCCTGCCTTCCTTACAGGATTAGCCCTGTACAGTGGAAAAAAGCAAAATAAGATTTCTTCCAACAACTTGTTCTCCGAATTGCTTAGAAAGTTAATAACTGGTTCTCCTGAATAGGTGCAAACTGGCTGAATCCCACCACTGTAACCCAATTGACTGGCTGGGAAGTTGCTGGGAAGTTACAACTGGTCTGGAAATATTGTCCTGACCACACAGAAGAAAGGGGGCAGATAAATGCAGTAAACAATTTCTTCAGATGTTAAATTCACTTGGGTTACACTAGTATAGTGATCCCCAATCTTCGCAGCTTGGTGGCCTGGCTGGGGGAGGAGAGAGGGGAACCAGTGGCGGGTCGGTGCGCACATCCACGCAGCTTGACGTTGCACAAGGTGAGTTGAATACATACATGCCTGCCAGACCATCACTTGCGTGAGTTGAGCTGCACGCATGCATACACACCAGCCCACCACTCCCAAGGCCTGATTGCGAATAGGCCACAGCAAGACAGTAGCCCGTGCTCCTGAGGTTGGGGATCCCTGCACCAGTGTGTCAGAACTTGTTATTCTCTCCCGAGAATCCAACTGCACTGCTGCGTACAATGGAGGCTACTCACCTTGTTTGTAAAAAGCTTGCTGTTAAGCAAGAAGGTGAGGAAAAAATTTCTTTTATCTCTCTGTCAAAAGGATAGAAAAGAAAACCAATTAATCAAACCATAGCATACCAACCCAGCTTTATACTTGCTTGGAAATAACTCTATGTCCAGCATGAGCCACGGTGGTGCAGTGGTTAGAGTGCAGTACTGCAGGCTATTTCTGCTGACTGTCGGCTGACTGCAATTTGGCAGTTCAAATCTCACCAGGCTCAAGGTTGACTCAGTCTTCCATCATTCTGAGGTGAGTAAAATGAGGACCCAGATTGTTGGGGGCCATAGGCTGACTCTGTAAACTGCTTAGAGAGTACTGTGAAGAGGTATATAAGTCTAAGTGCTATTGCTATTAAATCATTTCCTTTAGTTTATAGTCTGAATTGATGCTTACAGAAGTACAATTTTCTCATCAGAAACAGGCAATACAAGTAGCAACCTTATAGCATTCTGCTGTGCTTCACTTCCTATTTCTGCTGACTTCCATTTCTCAATCAATCCTCTGTCCAGCTGACTGATCCTAGGCAAGACTTCCAAAGAGGTGGCTGCATTAGCAGACGCAGAAGCCTGAAGAAAGGAAAACCCAAGTGAAAAAGTGTTATAGCTATATCACATAATCAACGCTTTATAATATAAACCATTGAGAAGGCGGACATTCAGAGTCAATTCTCATTCATGTTCCTGTAGAAACTGGGGGTGCAACATTTGGGAAATTGTGTTTGCAAATATCATTGCAAGTTGATGAATCATTCAAATGTCTATATAAAGAGAAGAAACTTATGTGTACAGTTAAAGAACACATTTCATTTAGGCCAGCTGTATTCACGAAATGCAGGTAGTCCTCATTTATAGCATCTTCTATAATCTATTTGAAGTGTTATACAGCCTATTACTAGTGTCTTAGCTTACTGATGGTTTGAAAATGATGTTGAAGTCAAGACAGTTTACAAAAGAAATAAAAACATTACCTGAAATATATTGACAAAGTTGACATATGCTCCAGCAAAAACTTGGACTCCCAACAATTCTACAATGAAATGAATATCCATTTATTATTATTATTATTATACAATTGTATCACAGTGGCCAGTTGTTTCGCCGGATTTGGCATTGGTTACTAGTCGGGCCCCACCCAATTATTATTATTATTGTGGTTGTTGTGGTTGTTGTTCATCGCAGTCAGACAGATGTTATTATTATTGTACAATATTTATATAACTTCGCCTCCTTCCTTTCTCTTGTGATTTACAGTGTAACTTTATGAGGGTGCTTCTGAAATATCCAGGAGGAATTCAGCTGCAGCTTATAAATCCTTTATCCCTCAAATCTTCTTTTCTTCATTAAATTTACATAAACATTAAGCAGATCTGTTGTTCTCAACTAACAGAAATATACATTTTCTTTTCATGACAAACAGAAGGAGAATTAAGTGCTCACTCCAATCATACATTAAGTTTAATTTTGCAGCCAGAATGTTGGGCATATTAGATTAGTTTAGAATTTCACAATTTACTCTATTTAAAAAAAAAACACCTTTATTTTGCTTTTGCTGGTCATGGAATTACATAGCTATGCAATTCTCTATTTCTATACTCCTGCCAACTGATTAAATTGTGAGTTGTATGATACCAGTTTAGACTTTTAGAGTAAAGCACAACCCAAAAATCTAGAAAGCTTTAACTCCAAAGAACTTCCAAGAACATTTGATCAGAATGTCAAAAAGATCAACAATCAAACACTGAATAAAATATACTCAAATCAAACCTGACTTTTAGGTGTCACTTTTCAAAGGGAATTAACCATCTGTTTTCAAAGCTATGAGATGTCTTAAATGTGCTCATATGTGGCTGTATGTTGCCCCCATGCATTCTTGTATTAACACTATTTTGCATTCTGGATTTGTGTTTACAAAAAGGTACCATTAGGGGCCAGAAGAGCATTGAGATCAACACAGTTTCTTTCTTCCTGTCTGCTCTCCGATGCCGAACTTTCCTTATCCTGCAGGGGACCACGTCCAAAAGACCACAACAGCCCAGACGCAGAGACACAAAGAGTGTGATAACTGCAGAAAAACCAAAATACTGTCAGATTCCCATATGAACAACTCTGCTCTATATCTGTTTGGGATTGTTATGGTTTAGAATAGCCATATTAATACAAGTTCCCTAAAAATGTCATAGATGTATCTAAATATGTCACAGATGTCTAGTCCTCTCATCATCTAAAATTTCTGGTAAACCAACAGCCTCCAAAATGTTAGAAGTGCTCAATACACTTTAAATGGATTTTGTTTTTATATAAGGTATATCAATTTCTCTTGAAAGCACATATGTAACCACTCACATAGATGTAGAAGGAAAGAGATGGTACATACCTTCCACAGGAAATGTGGGAAACTCGATCATCGATCTCATCGATTTTCTGAGGACCAGTCTTTGAAGAGTTGTGTCCTAGTTGTCCAGCATTGTCATCTCCAAAGGTGAAAACACTGCCACTCTATGAAGGATGTTAACAAATCAAGCACCATCAGGTTTTTTCCCATCCACCTGTTTTAGTTTTATTAAACATTTCTGCAACTACATGTTGTTTTGGAGGACAAAGGTTATATTTGCATGCAGATGTGCCTGACTCCAACTGCGGCCATGTCATTTTGCAACATGATCTTTGGCTGCAAGAAAAAAGGGTCAATCAAAATAGTTTGAAGGTTCTTACCTATTTTCTTCACTTCCACCCTCTTAGAGTATGAAAGCCGTATGAAAGCTTCAAAGCAAGCTAAAAATGCTTCCGGTCAAAGAGAAAAACCAAAAATATTCACCTATGAGCAAATTAGGGGGAAAATGCTAATTCAAATCCTACCCCACACAATCACCCATTTTAAATAAAGTCCTTATCGAGAAATGCCTGACAATGCTTCTAATTGTTAAGCAATTCTAAGTGCATAAGTTCAATAATGTAATTTGGGTGGCTTCTGGACTGAACCGATTCCTGGTGCCCAAAAGGTTGAGGGCCACACCATAGAGACCTCACCAGTTCTATCATTTCTTACATTTAGTACTCAACGATTCCTGAATATTCCACAAAACAATTCTCAATATCCAGTTAACAGACTGCTGCTAGCAGTATGGAAGCTTCGTTACGAATTCAATACCTTGGTGAGAACAGCTGTATGTTCATCTCCGCAGCTAATATAAGTCACTTCAAGGTTTCTCAGGGCACCTACTGAGTAAGGTTTGAAGATCTGTTCTGTTGAAAAAAATAATCATCAGAATATTGCAGCATTTTATATGAATATTCCAAGAACCACCCCAAAGTTTATTAAAATACGCCGTTATTTATTAAGTGTGACTGAAATAATTACTGTAACAGAAATTAAAGTAGCTACAGCAAGCTTTGAAAATCCACTCTAAAAGTTTCCAAAATGTAAACTTTAGAATTGTCACCATCTTTGAGGTGGGGAACAAAGAATCTGGCTTGTCTAGACCAGGGGTGGGTAACTATGGCAACATTACAATCTGTAGACTTCAACCCCCAGAATTCCTCATGGCTGGCTCAGGAATTCTGGGAGTTGAAGTCCACAGGTAATAAAGTTGCCATAATTGCCCACCCTTGTTCTACATTATGCCAGGCCGCATTTTAAAGGTACTGAATGGACTGAATGCACATTTTCTCACAAGGGGACAAACACGTGTTCAAGCCATCATTGCCATTTTTTGTGTTCACATTCTACTTTGAAACTATCATTCCAAGGTTTATAATTGGATTTGGAGAAACTAAAAATAATAAAAGGAAAGAACCGGGGGGTGGGGGGAAATGTTTTTGATAGTTTTGACAATCAGTTGGTCCGATGTATTGCGGATTTGAGGGAGCCATCTGCTGATGGGAAGAGTACTACAATACTTTGTGAAAGATAAAAGAGAAAGTGCAGCTGTGGAACCTAACCTTGACTAGCAGAAAAGATAATTTGGATCTGTGAGAACTATTAAGGAGTGTTCGTTTTGCTACATTGCTTGGTTTAGATTTTCTACGGCCATGGAAGATAATAAACTTTCGACTCGGATTGGACTAATATTCGAATTGGACATTACATTTTGGAAATAAAAAATGGGGGTGTAAAAAAGACTGTATCGACTTTAAGTTCTAATTAAATGTCATATGACCCAAAAGTATTAAAAATTGTTACATTTGTTAAATTGGTAATATGGAGCTTTGATGTATGATGAATTATTTGAGAGGCTAAAAAATGCACGTGAAACTTTAAAAGGCAATAAAAAGTCAGAAATTCGAATGGAGCACACAGATCAGGAAATGGGAAAGGAGGAGGTAAAAGAGAGCATAAATGAAGAACAAGAAAATAATATTGAAACTTAACTTAAAGTAAAAAGGAACTTAAAGTAAAGGAACTTAAAGTAAAAAACAGTTAGATGATTTCACGGTTCCACCACAAAACCGCGGACGACAAAATCGTGCTCGACGAAAGCGCGTATGTGACGTCATCACAGCGCGACGAAAACATCGCGCTGTGATCGATAAATCTAAAAATAAAGTGAAAACCTTACCCTACCCCCCCCCAACCCTAACCCTAAACCTAACCCTAAACCTAACCCTTAACCTAACCTAACCCTAAACCTAACCCTTAACCTAACCT